ATAAATGCCGAACCACAGAATTTTCAAATGTGATCTTGTTTGGTTCTGTATTTACCAATTGTGCATACAGTTGTATAAACATCGACATATCTATAATTTTATATTTTTACTATCTAGCTACATATCTTAGGTCATATATAATTATTAGGTTTTTTGTTACCCACATAGAATAATTGATTTACCCCCGCGGGGGTAATTAGTCCCAGTTTCGGAATCACAGATCTAGATAGTCTAACAGAGGGTCAAAAATATGAATTTTTCTTATTGTCACTTACGATTAATGCATTTTCGGAAAACATCAAAATTTACTTTTGATGCTTAATTTGTGATACACTGTATTACTTTTACCTATACAATTGGACTTTTACATTATGTATAATGCCTCTGAGCATTTAGTATCCACCTGTATTATTGCATTCATGTCTGCAACCTTAACGAGAGCAAGTTGTTAATTTGGTTGCTACAACGAAACTCTCGGATAATTCCATTATTTATGATCGCGTCAACCAAAAGCAGGTCATTTTTTTATTCTTATTCTTTATTTTATAATAACTGACAAAGGTTCTCGTTGATAGCATAGTGTAATGCAAGAATAACTAATATTTGGAGAAAAACACCTAATTACTGAAATTCATAACAAGTTTCGAGCCATAAGGTAAGAAGGACTTTGTAAATCAATGTAAAATCCATTTAAAAAAAGAAAGACAGGTACAAATAATTAAATTTGTAGCATGTTTAAAAATATTGTTAAATTTGCTCTTTTGGTGTATCTAAAGATTGTTAAAGTTGTCCAAAAAATTGATCATTGTTGCTCCAATTGATCGTACATATCTTTAGAGTTATGGTTTTTATCACCGTTTGCTAGGAAGTCAGATAACTCAGGATGTAAGGAGCAGCAGAGATATAAAACAGAGGATTGNCAGTTGTTTAAACATCGACATATCTATAATTTTATATTTTTACTATCTAGCTACATATCTTAGGTCATATATAATTATTAGGTTTTTTGTTACCCACATAGAATAATTGATTTACCCCCGCGGGGGTAATTAGTCCCAGTTTCGGAATCACAGATCTAGATAGTCTAACAGAGGGTCAAAAATATGAATTTTTCTTATTGTCACTTACGATTAATGCATTTTCGGAAAACATCAAAATTTACTTTTGATGCTTAATTTGTGATACACTGTATTACTTTTACCTATACAATTGGACTTTTACATTATGTATAATGCCTCTGAGCATTTAGTATCCACCTGTATTATTGCATTCATGTCTGCAACCTTAACGAGAGCAAGTTGTTAATTTGGTTGCTACAACGAAACTCTCGGATAATTCCATTATTTATGATCGCGTCAACCAAAAGCAGGTCATTTTTTTATTCTTATTCTTTATTTTATAATAACTGACAAAGGTTCTCGTTGATAGCATAGTGTAATGCAAGAATAACTAATATTTGGAGAAAAACACCTAATTACTGAAATTCATAACAAGTTTCGAGCCATAAGGTAAGAAGGACTTTGTAAATCAATGTAAAATCCATTTAAAAAAAGAAAGACAGGTACAAATAATTAAATTTGTAGCATGTTTAAAAATATTGTTAAATTTGCTCTTTTGGTGTATCTAAAGATTGTTAAAGTTGTCCAAAAAATTGATCATTGTTGCTCCAATTGATCGTACATATCTTTAGAGTTATGGTTTTTATCACCGTTTGCTAGGAAGTCAGATAACTCAGGATGTAAGGAGCAGCAGAGATATAAAACAGAGGATTGCGCAGGGTCGAGTCGCCTTCAGTAAAAAGAAGTCACTTCTGTGTACGCAAACAGATAATTCAGAAATTCGACAAATATTGATAAAGTTGTATGTTTGCAGCGCGGTGCTGTACAGGTGTGACACACGTACGGTGGACGTGGCGGAAAAGAAAAGGTTAAAAGCGTTCGAAATGTGGTGTTACAGGCGAATGATGAGGATACCGTGGATAGAGAAGGTTAGGAATGAATAGGTGTTAGAAAGAATAGGAGAACAGAGAATTCTATGAAAGTCAATAAAAAGTAGGCGAGATAGGTTGGTAGGACACCTTCTCAGCCAGGAGTTAAGAGGGGTTGAGGTAGAGCTAGATTAAATTACTGTTCGCAAGTAGTTAAGGATGTGGGATGTTCTAGTTTTAGGTAAATGCGAATATTAGCTCAGGATAGGAAAGAATAGAGGAGCGTGTCTAACCAGTCTTGGGACTGACGACCTTTTGATTAGGTATGTTGATGATGGTGTATTTCATATATAGATAATTAAATCAAATTGATAGGGTTTTCTTAAAAAATACACTACGTATAAACTCTCAATATCGAGCACCTGTTTCCGTTATTGTGTTTAGTTGCGATTTCGCTAACCGCCCCTAGTAAATTACTTTATTCATGGGCGTAGATAGGTAAACGCAAGGGGTGCCCTGCCTCTCTTAGCAAGCTCACTGCTCTCCCTAAAAAAAGCTTTGATGAATCACGATATCGGTACAAGGTTTGAAAGCATAAAAATCAAACACATTTTTGTGATTTTTGAACCTCGTAATTTTACAACCTAAATTTTTAAACCCAAACCGAAACTAATTGAGATATGTAATATATATTACACAATATATAAACCTACAGCTACTGAAAATATACCCAACCCTCCCAGGAAAAACTCTATCTACGCCCATGACTTTATTATTCCAGTTTCACGAACTATTAAGGTGGTAGTTATATTTATACATAAGCTGATCAATGGAGAACCCTGATTGATTTGCTAAAGGGACTTAGATTATATTTAGTACAAAACACACAAAATTTTGTGATGGTTGACACTGAAACAATATTTTAATAATGGCGTAACTCCGAACGATTGTTTTCTTTCTCACTTTTCTGTAGCACTACTTTTAAAGAAGTTTTTCCTTACTGTCCACTATTTATGAATATGTTATTATCTTACAGAGAATAGCTGCTACATTATAGAGAGTTAGTAAATTTCCGGCGAATTAAATAACCGTATGCCTGTATTAACTATATAAAGCTATTCGTAGAAAACAGTTTCATTACACATAAAAACCTTAAACTTAATATTTAATAAAAAATAAAAGATCATTGCAGATTACACAAATAAATTTAATTAATTTCACTTTATTAAACTTACCTCCGATTTCCCTCTAGATACACAACTTGCTACCCAGTTGGGTTCAAGGACTAGGGAATCCTTCTGAAACAAGATGGAAATATCGATATCTTTATTATAAGAATTGTTAATTCATTTAATTGATAAAACGATTTTATTAAATTTAAATCGATTTTTTATCATATTTAATTTTTTGTTTGTTTCCTGTGCGGTGAGTTTTTATTTTTTTTATCAACAGACTTTAAATTCAGTTGTAATTCAAACCGAAAAGGTGTCAAGTTAAAAGATAATAAAAATTCGATATATGTGTGCAGAAAACGTGGAAGTGGCAGTAATGAATGCTCTCACCTCGCACGATCGGTGATATATTCATTTCTTTTTTGCATAAACCTTGTCACCTACGGGACTGTACATCATCGCAATAAAACACCCCCTAATCTGGCTGTGCCGGTAAAAGCGGCGCTATAAATTTTGCTTTTGCTAGGCAAGAAGATGTCTCTAGCGTTGGATCGTTTCAGAAAAATTTACGGTTTTCTCAAGGACCTAGTTACCATTGTTGAAAAGAAAAATGAAAATTCATGTTGTTTTGGTGCTAATATACATATTTGAGGAGATTTACTAGTCACAAACTTGCAAAGTAAATAAAGTTTCTCCAAGCAAAATGCAATATGGTATGCTAAAATATTAAATATTACAATGTATAAAATAATTCGAAGTGGTCTGTATTCTGTCGAAACTGCCAGACGCGGATCGCGATTTCGATCTTTTTGGATCTCATCAGCGCGTCGCAGACAGCTCCGACAGGACACAGACTAACTTTTAACTGCTGTCTTAAGAGTGCGTTTTAGAAAATATTACAAAAGGCGCAGTGAACGCTATCTGTAGCACGATGCTACATTTTAGGATTACGTATGCTCTAATAAGGTCCACTTGTGTGGATATCTACTTGCTGAAAACGAATCCCGGCGTAGCCAACCTCAACGTGATAGGCACGTTTGCTTAATCGATTAAAATAATTCGAAGTGGTTTGTATTCTGTCAAAACTGCCAGACGCGGATCGCGATTTCGATATTTTTGGATCTCATCAGCGCGTCGCAGGCAGCTCCGACAGAACACAGACCAACTTTTACCTGCTGTCTTAACAGT